AGTTGAGAAGGTAGATAATAAATATTGGCAATACATAAGACTTGGCTGTACTAAGAGCTACCCTTTGCTATCTTGAGCAGCAGCAGTTATTAATTTTCAGACATAATCAAGTGATTTATATTCATGATTATGGTTCAAACCATCCTGACACTTGTTCCTTCTACATCTGACGCCTTCTCGCTTCGTGCTTTTTGTGTTCAGCAGCAATTAAAATAAGAATGAGAGGGTTTGGGGTTTTTTAGGAGTATTGTTATAACATTTTTCCTCTGATTTCAGGTCTTACCCACTGAGTCATCACCTGAGCAGTGTGTTCTGCACTGACTTCCAGTAATTATTTTTGTGTTTTAGAGACTCCCAGCAAGTCATTTCCTCATTTGCACTGAGAACTGCAAAATTTATTCCTCTTTCTGTGCACCGTAGATCCATTGGAATTCTTACCTTTGTCATCATTATCATGATCACTGGTCTCTAATTACCACTGGCCTCTAATTTCACCTAATAAAAATTCATAAATACCACTGGCATTAAATTTTAATGTTCATCACCTCTGCCATACTTTGTTGGATCAAAAGTAGTATTGGAATGAGAATAAAGATCCATTGTTTAGACATAAAGAAACATATTTATCTAGAAAAATCATTTCTACAGAATGTCTATTTGCATTTCTTTGAGAAGAGCTGCACATACTTCGAAAATGAACTTCAAATATGTTCTGCTTTTCCACAGCAATGAAATGACTCAGTTGATATTATTTCTCCGTCTGTTTGGTAAACAAAATCAAAATATTTTGGTTGTCAATTACTATAAAATGAAAACTGCTTTTGTCTGAGTCGGAGCTCACAGCATCTGATCTTGAATTGTGATGTGCTTTGGGAAAATGACACAACATGGGATGAATCCAAATTCGTTCTCTCCAGAGTCTCTTTGGGGGAAAATCTGTTTTCAGTGCCTTGGTGAGGCTTCGCAGCTCCTTGCCTTGCTCAGCTGAATGTCTGGAGGAGACTCCAAGCCTCTAAAAACAGCTCAGCCTTTATTTTTGCTTGGATGTGGCCAGAGCTAGCCTGGAGAGCTCCCAGTTTGGAGAAGTGGGATGGCAGGGTGGGTTCAGCCATGCAAAGGGGGAATGTGGGGATTACAGGAGTGTGTTCCTGCTGGATCTGTGCCAGACATCCTTCCATGGTAACAATTATGGTCCTGGCTGGACTGGAAATGTGCCAACAGACTCTTACAGAAATTAAGGGCTGTAGCTCTAACTTATATTTAATATTTGACACCAAAACAGTGAAAAAGCAACTCTTATTAAACTGTAGACCAAGCATAAGCCATTTCTATTTCCCTTATTAAACTGTAGACAAAGCATGAGCTATTTCTATTTCCTAGCATGGTCCTGTAGCTGAAACTCCAATTTTTAGCCCTGCTGACTGAAGGAATGTCAGGGAGCTCACTCTGCCCAGCTAACGAGCTTTGCAAGTTGTGTGTGATTTAATTAAAAATGGACCTGTTCAAAGCAGAGATAAATGTCTCTTTTTAAATTACTGCATTTTTAATGGTACCTCATTTCCTAGATTGCTTTCCTGTGCCATTCTCTCCAGCCCAGCCTGTACCCCTGGGTTTCCAACAATTCTTCTTCTTCCCAGCTTTTGGTCAGAAAGGAATCAGCTCTGAATTCCTGGAAACCAAAGCAGGATCCAGCAGAGACCACGCTGCTCCAGCTCCTCACTTAATGGAGTTCTCATTGTCTTTATGGCCTCTCAGTGTCCCTGGCTGAGGAGCCTTCCCCATTCCTGCCCCTTGGAACTTTATCTCACACCTTGCCCTGATCTCCCCCGTGGAGTAACAAAGCTCCCTCGGCTGGGAAGCTGCTGGGAAACCCTCCCTGGAGAGCTGGGTGTTTCTGGCCGTGAGCTCTGGAGCGGCAGGGAAGCGTTCCCCGGGTGATGGATAACAGAGCTCGGTGGCACTGCCACTTCAGGGAAGCACTTAGGCAAATGGTTTTATTGATGGCAGGGAGATTGTTAAATGGAACCCCTGGAATATGCTGTGCTAGGCCCAGGGCTTTCCTGGAACAGTCAAATGAAATAAATAAACTTTAAAAAACAAATATCCATCAAACAAACCCCTCAGGCTTCCCCAGCCGTTGTCATCCTCATAATCCACACCGAACCATTTTGGTTTTTTCATAGACACTCATAAAGGAACATATCTAGCAATTTGTAGCAATATTTCCAGCTTTTTCTTGGACTTAGGGGTTGTTCCCATGGAAAGGAGGGGTGAGGTTTGTTTGGAAACTTTGTCTGTTCACCTGAGTCTGAAAGGAAAGGAAAGGAAAGGAAAGGAAAGGAAAGGAAAGGAAAGGAAAGGAAAGGAAAGGAAAGGAAAGGAAAGGAAAGGAAAGGAAAGGAAAGGAAAGGAAAGGAAAGGAAAGGAAAGGAAAGGAAAGGAAAGGAAAGGAAAGGAAAGGAAAGGAAAGGAGAGGAAAGGGGAAAGGAAAAAGGGAAAGGAAAAAGGGAAAGGAAAAAGGGAAAGGAAAAGGCCCAGTGCTCAGTGTGTGCTGTTGGTTTTCCTTCCTTTAAGTGCTGACTGAGGAAAAGGGCCCCATTCCCTCTGTGATTCATCAGGAAATATTCCAAATTTCTCATTCCTGGGGCTCCACAGGCAGAGTGAGGGATGGAGGAATTGGATGAGGGATGGAGGAATTGGAGTAAAAAAAAAACAGTACAAAAAATACAAGTGGTACTTCTCAGCCATTTCTTTGTTACTGAAAAATCACTTGTAAATACTTTAATAATATGAATTGAAAGCTTTCCTGTGGAAAATGCAGGTTTAATCTTAGAATCCCACCTATCATTTGCAAGAAAAAGACAACAACCAGTTAAGTGTGAAGCATTCATATTAAGGTTATGATTGAAGCCTCTTTGCTATAAAAGTATAACACTTCTGTGTTAATCTTTCATCTTTTTCATCTGCTTTTGACATTTATTAGTGCTATCCCCTGAAATCTGTTTATATTGATTTAAGATTAATCTTTTATAGTTAATTCCAATAAAAATTTTAATGGTCATAAATTTGATTCTCCCCTGCAACATGTTCAACAGCTCTTTCCCTCATTTGAGAATGTTTAATGACTTCTTGTGGTGATTAAACAGAAATAATACATGAGGAACATGAGGGCTCCATGAAGGTTAAAGTAACAAAGATATGGAAAAAGAACAGATTAAATAAAAACCCAGTCATGCAACTGGATGAGCTGATTGGCACTTCATGGCTGCTTTTCACTCCTTTGCAGAACCTGATGCTTCATATTGAAGTCCAAAGAGTGTTTAGTCCAAAGAGTGTCTGTAATCTGCCTGTAATTCTGCTGTGCCTGCCATTGGCCCAGGGCTTTGCAAACACAGCTGAGAACTGATAACAGCAGCTCATAAAGCCCCAGGCTTGATGCTGAACTTCACAGTCAGGAGCAGCAAATGAAGGAAACACAGAAACGTTAAGGTAAGGCTTTCATTTTGTTTAAATATAGATTTTGTTTAAATATATATTATTATATTATTATATTTTATGTTGTTTAAATATCTATTATATTGCATATTATTTATTCCAATGTTCTGGAGAGCTTTGCCTCGCTGGTGAATGCTCATCACACAACAGAACTTAGATTTATAAATTATAAGGATTTATTTCCAGTGTTTTAGGGTTTGAAGGGAGACCAGGAGAAGAAAGAACTGAAATTCAATGAGATAGGAGGCTTTAATGATAAGAACTTGAATAAAATCCTGCTTTTCAGAAAAATGAACATTAGAGTTTTTAAGTTTTAGGATGATACCATCTGGGGCAACCCAGCAAAAGGGGATTTTAGGTTTTGATGGAGGGAGGGTAATGGGTTAAAAATGGCAACAGGTGCACACAATGATTTAAACTGTTATTTCACACAAAAAAAATAGTTCATTTTAAAGTATTTTTCACTTCTGTGGGTCAATAATAAAACATATGAAAGTGTTTTGATGTGCCAGTGCAATACACACGTGCTCCCACACTTCCTTAACTAAGAAGAACCAATTTCTCTGTATTTAACTCTGTTTTATGAGGTTAAATGCCCTTAACCACAAGTTAAATGCAGTGGTAGCTGCCAGTGTGTATTGATCTGGCTGCTGAGTTTAGTTTTAATTAGTTTTAATTAGTTTTAATCAGTTTGATTGCTGGTGCACAGTTCAGTGTTGATGGCTCTGGGTTGTTCTCTGAGCCAGCACAGCCCCCTTGGCACAGCACACCTTTCTCACCAAAAATACAAAAAAGGAATTTGGGAAAACCTCGTGTTTTCCACAGCTTTTTAAGGCACTGACTCCGTTGAGTTATTTCCCATATTTCAGTTGTGATTCCAGCAGCAACCACTGTGCCATGAGCTTGTACACAGTCTGCTCTGCCACTGTACAAAAAAGCAATTTATCTCTGTCTTGCCTTCTCCACGTGTCCTGGACACACCCTCAGAGTTTATTCCAGCTTTTCTCAAGTATATTTTTTAACAAATCAAATTCCTCCTTTTTAAATGAATAACCTTGTGTTTGCTCTAAAGGAGAGAAGAAAGTTTAGAAAAGTAAAAAAAAGAGGAAGAAGATTTTATTTGTTTTCTGTTTCAGGAATTTTAGTGACCTGTTGGAAACTTCATGGTTAATTTCAGGAGCAAATTGTTCTGTGTTAAGTGATATAATACATTATAGCAAAATACATTTGGTACCAAAATACATTTGTCAGTGTAATAATACGTAAATATTTGGGACCAAAATACATTTGTCAGTGTAATAATTTCATAATCTGCACTGGGTGAATTATCCTGAAATAATTTGCACTTAGCCTTTAAGGAGAGTTTTATTTAAGCCTCAGGATTAGGTGATGTGGCTTAAAACCAGAACAATTCATTAAATTAGCAACGTTTACAAACTGGAAATGTAATTTACAGCTGTTCCTTGTGTTTCACTTTGGCTGATGGAGTTTATCTGGTTTTCTAGATGGGCAGGAAGTTCAGTGGGCTGGAGCTCACCCTGATTGCCCTCTTCACCCTGGTCACTGTCATCGCCTGTGTCCTCATTGGGCTGCTGGCCACGGGGCAACCCGGAGTCAAATCTCCAGGTGAGAGCTTCCCAGGGCTGTGCAGGAGCAGGAACCCGAGTGGCATGTGGCTCAGGGCTCCTGCTCTTATCAGCATCCAAATGCTCTTATCGCTACCCGAGGGTGAATCATGGGCAGTGCTTCCTGCGGGTGATACTATTGAAGTTATGAATGCAATAAATGCTGTGAGTCGGGGTTTATTGGCGTGAAAAACCTTTTATCTCTCCCTCCACTGACTGGACTTTCTTTGGGAACATAGAGCTCAGATAATTTCAATTTTTGGAGTATTAAAAAAAAAGATAACTACGGAAAAAATCTGCCCGATCCCTAGGTGCAGCCACATTGTGTGGAGCATTATTATGATCCTAAAATCCCCCAGTGTTTCTTGCTGATGCACTGATAAATCAGAAAACTCTTGTGTTCCAGGAATGTGATGCAGAGCACCTGCTTCACTTCCAGTCCCATTTTGTGTAATTCTGTTCACACACAGGGACTGGAGCAAAAAGCTTGGGGGTGAAAATGGCAGAAAAATAAAAATTATTGCTTATACAATAAGGCAAACACCTGGGTGTTTTAGTAGAACTGCCCATCCAGACTAATATCCGCATATTTTTTTTCCTATTTCTGTCATGAGTAGGAGTTTTCTTGAGAAAAAAGCACAAATGAAGCTGATGCAAAGAGGCAAATCTGGGGGTGTGTGTCCATCTCATCCCAAGGCACATCCCTGCACTTCACAGCCCTTGTTCCAGACACAAACAGTTCCCAAACACATAAAGTAACCTTCAGTGCTCCCTTTAATCAGCTAAAGCTGCCCACCTTAAATTCACCTGAAATCTAAAGGAGCATTTTAATGGTGGTGCTTTTCCCTGATGCTCCAATTCCAGCTCCTGTGGAAAACTCTGGCTCGAGGGAAGGAGAACAATGAAAACGCAGTTTAAGAAGAGAAAACTTCTTCCAATTTTTAGTTTTGCACATATTTTCAATGAAGCAGAACACATTGACAAGAGTCACTGAAAAGTGGACTAATGAAATAAAATTATCAAAATTACCTATATGCTCAAAAATTCACAGTGATGTTTTCATATCTGAAGTAATTGTGTGCCATTTTCCAAAGGTAAAAATGAATCACAGAAACAATGGTTGATAGTGATTTGGATCTCTGTTGTTGTTAGGGAAGCAGGCAGCAGGAATGCTGAGTTCAGAGGGAATCAAGTTATTCCTGCAGTTTAGAGATCCTTGTATTAACCCATTGTTTTATTTCCCTGACAGACTTTTACCCACAATGTCAGAATACACCAGTAGCAGAGAGAATTGACTGCATCCCAGATCAACTAGCAACACAGGTCTGGTAACATTCTGGAAAACACTAGAAAAAGAGATTTCATCCCATAAAACCTCCTGCTTGTTTATAAAAATGTCATTTGTCTCTACCAGAGCAGGTGTTCCCTTAACCTGTTTAAATGTGTGATTTTCCCAGTGTTTGCAGGGGAGCTCCACTCCTCACAGCCATTTCAGCCCCACTGACAGGAGGTCGGATTTCTCTGGTTTGGGGAGAGGTGGAAAAAATATTGGTCAGACATCAAGCAGTTAAAAGAGTCACCCTTGGTTTTTAACAGCTTTTTCTGACCGGTTTCATTTGGTGTGATGGTCAAAAAGTGGCATTTATAATAATTCAGAAGTGCTGGCCTTTGCTGAGATGTGCCACTTTACAATGTTCAAGGTGTGGTCAGAGTTTCCTTTCAGACCCACTTTGGATCCCAGTCTGGTTGGGATGTCTGAGAGAGCAGAGCATGGAAAAGATCTTTTGGCTTAAGAATCTTGGAGTTAAAATTCCCAGTGAAAAGCATCATCTCAGGCTGGGTGAGGCTTGGAGCAGCCTGGGATGGTGGAAGGTTCCCTGCCCATGGAAGGAATAGGAATGAGAGGAGATTTGAGGTCTCTTCCAACCTAAACCCTTCCATAATTTTATTATGCCCTTTATTTTTCAGTGCTTTCACATTGAGAACCTTTCTGTAATAGTTACTCTTGAAAGCCTATTATTAGTATAATTATTATTTTTCATCCTTATTATGGATTTTCTTGTTTTCTAGTGGATGTCTGGTATCTATCTTTGATCTGGGGAGGGGCAGCTTAGGAGAAAAAAAAAAATAAACCCAGTGTGATGTGTGTTACTTCTGTCATTCACAGAGGTATAAAAATTGTTACCCAGCTGTCTGAACCTCAGAGGAAATTCCCACCTAATTCCAGAGCTGGCTGTTGTTAAAGCCTCTCCTGCCATGGGTTTTGTTATGATTTGTAGCTCAATAAAGTCCTGCAGGGGATGGGTTAGGAAAGGTTCAAATCACAGCCTGTTCCTCGCCTCTCCAGGTTCCTTCCCTGCCCCAGGAACAGGCAGGGCACTGCAGGAGAAGCCATGCAGATCATTTAAATCTGTAATTACTGCCTCTGAACCAGTCACCCCACGTGCAGGGCTGCGCTCCTCAAGCAGGGAGGGAGCAGTGCTGCTCTGGTTGCTGCTGCAAGACTGGTGCTAGGAGAGAATTAAAAACAATCAAATCATGGCTCCCAGCAGAAAAGTAGATGCAGATTGCAATGCTGCGGGTGCCTGATCTGGAATTAGAGGTAAAATAAATTATTTCTGAATATTAGTGAAGAGCAGGCAGCAGATTTGACAGGCTTAGAGATAAATATCACCTTTACTCCATGGGGAAAGCCAGAATCCCATCCCAGTGATTCCATTCACCCCTGTGCTCATTTTGCCCTGGAAGTGATTTGGTTGTGTCAGGCTGCACTAATGCAGGAATCTGTAAAACTGCAGGTCCTGCATCGCTCCTCCACAGTGGTTTGTGTTTGTGGTTTTCAGAATAAACAGCAGCTGGGAAAAATGGTTTGGCTAAGCTGATCTACAAGCGTTAGGGTCTGCCTTGAGCTCCTTGTCCTGGAAGGAGCCAGAAAATGAGTAGGATTGCAGAAATGAGAAGTAAATAGAAGAAAGAAAATGAAACGGAAAGAAGGCAGAAAGAAGAGGAAGGCGGAAAGAAAAGACAAATGAGGGAAGGAAGAAAGGAAGAAAAGATAAATGAGGGAAGAAAGGAAGGCGGAAGAGGAAGAAAGGAAGAAATGCATAAAAGAGAAAGAAAGAAAATAAATAGATTTTTTTATTTGATCATGTGGTTGGTGAAGATAGAGATGCTGGATGAAGGAAGATATTTAGGATCTATTCACTGCTGTGGAAAATTGCCTGGAGGTCTGATCAGACAAGCAGAACACAGCAGTAAAACAAGAATTCCACTGAGCAGAGCTCGTGCAGGCCAGGCTGACACCTCTGAAAGCTCAGGGAAGGGGGAATTGTTGCTTTGGGCTTGGTTTCTGTGCTTTTCTTCCCAAAACGCCCTGCTGCTGGAGGCCTGTGTGGATGCACAGAGCGACACATCTTAGTTCAGCACGTGGCCAGGCTCTTTTTGGAGCCCCTGTGCTCAGTTCATGCTGCACCCCAGTGTGCACAGCTTCCTCTTAGCCAGGGTTATTCCTAATTAAACTTTGGGTGCTGGTATCTATTGTGCTGCTTTTACAGCCCCCAGCCTGGGATCACATCTTTATTTATGGCAGATGATTGCTTTTACAACAGGCTCCCCAATGTCTCTGGTGAACTCTGCTCCTTCCCCTGTGCCAAGCACAGCCAACCCTCAGCTCCTGTGTTTACTTCCTTGTGCAGAAAGCTCAATATGCCACAAAAATGGAAATCTGCCAGGATAAGATCCAGCTGGAAAAATATCACTGGACTGTGAAGGAACTGCTGAAAATAGTTGAGGAGTATTCAGGAGAAATAGCTGGGGAAAAGAAAAAGATGATTGGGAAGCTGGGGATGTGGATGCTTGAGCTGCCAGGTTCTAGGAAAACCAGTTTATTCTGCTTTTTATGGGATGGTCACTGGTCTGGGAAGGGAGGAGAGGATGGAAGTAGTAAATCTGTTCTTACATTTAGGATATTCCCCTATATATGAGGGAAATGAAGTAAGGAGATAAAGCTGAGATCTCTGCACTCCTGGAGGACTCGGTGCTTCCTCTCCTTTCCCCTGCAATGGTTTATAAATGGGAAATGGGGAGTTCTCAGGTGGCATCTGGGGAGGTGGGAAGTGAGCCTGGGTTTTTCACAGCCTTACAAAGTGCTGTGTGTACCAAAGTGGGGAAATGAGTTCCTGCAGCTCTCCTCCAGCCCTTATTTTTGGCCTGGAACCCGATGGAAATGGCAGCAAATGTTTTCTGATGGGATGAATCTAAGAGAGAGATGAAAAACATTTACCTGTTTGGTGAATCTGGGGTTTATTTTGGGTGGTTTTGAGTGATTTCTGTGCTCTGTAAAACCACTATCAAAAAAATTCCCTGAGACTTCCCAAGCCAGTGGCTTTGTGAGCTCCCTCAGTGCTTCCTTCAGCATCTGCCTGATTGCTGGGCTGGAGCTGCCTTATCTTTTATCTGCCCAGAGCCTCTCAAAATAATTTGACCTGCACTGAACAGTTTGGGCTCTCCAACCCCAAAACAAGGACAGCAACAATGAAGGTTTGGGGTCATGTCCACTTATTTCGAGCTGCAGAATATTTTGAATAATTATTACAAGTACCAAAAGCATTTGAGCATGATCAGATGGAGGCAGAAAGAGCTTCTGGTAGTGGAGAGGTGAAAGTGAGCTTTGGAGGGTTCCACTTTTGGAATTGGGTATCTGAGATCACTGATGGAATCACCCTTTGCCCTCAGTGAGAGTTGTTCTGCCACTGTCCTTTGCCCTAAGTAATGAATGGGGGTTTAAGGAGAGAAAATGTGTGGAAACTTTTGTGATTCATTGTCCCAGTCTTATCTCCAAACATAAACCTCACACACAGAGCACGTGAACAGGTTAATTTCTAACAGCAAAGGAAAGGAATTTCAGATTTCTAGTGAATGTGTGTGTAAAGCATGGTGCCACTACACTGAGACAGAGGCTTGAAAAAATAGGGTTTTTTTAAAAAAAATATATCTTTTTCTTAATTTGAGGTTATGCAGAAGCAGTCTGAGTATGTCTAATACTGGAAAATTATATTAAAATGTAGATATTATACACAATGTTCAATTATACCTATATAGATGTTTATTAGATGTTAATCCCGTGATAAATTTCACCCCCTCTCCAGTGCGTGGCTTTTGGTGGCTCTGCTGTATCTGTCACAGCTCAAATGTTCCAATAACTCTTTTAAAATATTTATTTTACCTGTGGATCTTGTGGTCTTAAGAAAGAATACATCTCCAATAAGCAAGTTTACTCTGATTCCATAAAAAAACCCTCTTTAGTGCTTCCTGTGCCACCACTGAGTTCACTCCATGGGCTTTTTCAAAGGAGGCCCTGACCCAAGTGCAGAAACAATTAAGGTTCCTGGTGTTTGGGGTGAAATGTGCACTTTAAGTGGTTTGGTGTGGGTTTGTTTGTGTAACCCCAGCTGATTTGTGCCCCTCCTGTCCTTGCTCAGAGCACCTGCTCCCTCCGTGGCTGCTGCTGGAGCCCCCAGAGCGACGCCAACGTTCCCTGGTGCTTCTTCTCCCACAAGCATGGCTACCAAGTGCGGGGCTCCCAGAGATCCACCAGGGCAGGTGAGCTCCGGGCTGGGCCCCCAGCTCCCCCCCCGTGCTGTCCTGTCCCACACAACACGCCGTGCTTGTCTCCCAAGGGTTTGAGGCCACGCTGGACAGGCTGCCATCCCCTTCCCTCTTCGGGAATGACATCCAGACCGTGCTGCTCACGGCGGAGTATCAGACGAACAACCGCTTCCGATTCAAGGTCAGGCTTTGTCCTCCTCTGCTCCAAGGGCTGCTGTGCAGGGAGTGCAGGACTGACGCCTCTGGAGCACTCTCACGATTCCCACTGAAGTTCTTTCGTTGTTCTCTCTGCTGTTGCAATGCCACAGGCACTTGGCACAGTGGGAATTCTGCATGAAAAGTCACTGAGACTTCTAGAAAGCTCAGCTTTTCTATTATCTACCATTTGTCCTCATCACAGGAAGATTTGGGGGGGATAAATGTATTTACTTATTTCTTGTTTGTGGCCCAATCGCATCACTCAATCATTTTGACAGACAATATTAGCTTTTCCAATGGTTTGTGTTTTCCATGGAGAGCTCAAGAGTCTGTGCCATGGATGTGGGGTACCAGTGGCTTGTGGGATTGTGAACCTTCTGTGGGAGACTTTGTCCTGTGGTGGGTTCCTGAGAGTCAGATATTCTGAAGAAAATGGCTGAAAATGAGTAATTAAACTTGAAAGTGAATAACAATAAAAGCAGAGGAGAAGACTGGGATAAGGGTGGAAATACCCTGAGTCAGAACTGTGGGTAGTGCTGCAAAATATCTGTATTGAGGATTAATTTTGTAAAGGCCCAACGCTTGTGTTGTGTCAATATGTGCAGATCACTGACCCTAACACTCGAAGGTTTGAGGTCCCCCATGAGCACGTGAAGCCCTTCGAGGGATCCATGGCCTCCAACCCCAACTATAAAGTGGAGCTGAAGCAGAACCCCTTCGGCCTCGTGGTGACCAGAGCCAGCAATGGCAAAGTGCTGTAAGTCCTGGTGGGCCTTCCTCGGTGGCACAGATGTCACTGGGGCTCCCTGAGAGCTGGTGGTGCCACACCAGATGTCACCTGTGAGGTGTTCTCTTGGGCATAGGCTCTACTTCTCTCTTCTTGACTGGTGGATGTCCCTCAAGGACTCTTGGCATGACTTTGGGAACAAAGTCTGAGGTGGAAAGCTCGTCTGAAGGGTTTCAGGTGTGGCTCTCTGATCACGTTCCCCCAGTGCTGGGGAAATCTCAATATGGGGAATTTTTATTACTTGAGGGACTCTGCCAGCACCTCAAGCCATGTGGGAAAATTCCTGATTGCCTTTTATCTTCTTTACCTTTTCACCTTTTTTTTTTTACCTTCCTTTACCTTTTATCTTCTTTATTACACTTGTGCTGAGGCCCTGAATCACCAAAAACAGGCTGCCCTTTGTATCATCACCAAAATCAGGCTGGCCTTTGTATCACCACCAAAATCAGGCTGCCCTTTACACCTGTGATGTCCAAGGACAGCTGGTCGTGTAAGGCCATGTCTAAAATAGTTAATGAACTTGAACATTGGATTGTCTCATCCCATTTATGTTCTAAAAAAGAAATAAATGAAACCAAACCCACCAACCCACAGGTGTCCAAGTGCCCTCAGAGCAGTGAAGGTGCTCATTAAATCAGCCAGGAATGATTACCTGGCACAGGGCTGGGCCACTTGGATTAGCAAGGCTTCGAGTTTCATTAATTGAGGGTTGCTTTTTGCTCTTATTAGTATGGTTTTCTTGCTTGGAATCCTCTGTAATGATTGATTTGCAATTATAGAGGGCACAGAAGATGGACTTGGCAGTCAGCAGTGCCTGACTGATTAAACAGGTACAGGGAAGGGGATGAGACACCTGAGGGACCACACTGAAACAATTCTCTGGAATACTGTCTCTGGAAAATTTTCCTTAGGCCTTTGTTATTTTCATTAAAGTATTTGCATTTGGGTCTCTAGAGGAAAAATGATACTGGTGTTGGACTCTGAGTTTGAGGATCTCAAAGAAAGCTGTTGCTACCATGGGATAAGGGCAGAGATAAATCCTTGATAAATTTCTTTGCACAAGGTTTGCACTGATTTTCCCAGCTCTTAAACAGCCCAACAAAAGGGAGGCCTTTTTATAGAAGGACAATATGTCATGACAGTTTATTACCAAAATCCTGATTATTCTGGTAACGTCTGTGATCTTACACCATCTTTTGTTCCACTTGAGACCCCAAAAGAGAGTTCTGATTCCAACAGCATCTGGAAGAAAACCTGAAAGATCTGGGTGGAGACCTGACTCTGCCACCCAGCTCAGCTGAATGAGCAGAAACAGTCCTTGCCACAACTCTCGGTAAAACTCTTCCCTTTTTCCTCATTTATTTTGCCCTTTTCCACCAGGTTTGACACCACCATTGGGCCCCTGCAGTACGCTGAGCAGTTCCTGCAGCTCTCCATCAAACTGCCCAGCAGCAACATCTACGGCGTGGGCGAGCACGTGCACAAGCAGTACAGGCACGATGTCAACTGGAAAACCTGGCCTCTCTTCAGCAGGGACACTGGCCCCTCTGCAGTGAGTCTGGGGTGGTTTCCCCTCAATCTTCGCAGTTCTGTCACCCAAACCTCCCAAATTCAATTCGTGAATCCACTGAGTTTCCCCTGATTTTTCAGGCACTGCATGTTGTTGCTAAAAGCTCCGTGGTACTGATGGGTTTTCCCTGATTTTTGTGTTGGTGTGCAGTGGAAAAACAGTGGATAAACCTTAATAGATGAGTCTCCAGCTTCTACTGATAATCAGAATAAGTAACATACGAATAAATAACACTAGGCTTTGCTGAGGGCAGGGTTCAGTTCGGATGGTCCAGGCTGCTTCAGCAACATCCTTGGAACTCAAATTATGGAAAAATTCTTCTTAGCAGCTGTTTTCTTTCCAAGATAAAATATGTCTGTCAGCTGTTATTTGTTGCTAGAGTTTTCTGGCTGTCCCTTTATGAAGCAAAAGACACCCATTTTGATAATTGTGAGATTATTTTCACCATTACCTCAGCTTCATAAAGCAACTCCCTGCTTCGAGAGAGAACTTTTGTTCTCCTGCAAGAGGAGATAAATGACTGAAACCTGAGGATGAGATGTCTGCATGTAGTTAATTAATAATCTGGAATTTGTACCCATTGCCTTGAGATTCCTCCTCACTCTTTGCTCTGGATTGAAGATAGTTCTTAACTGAACGGCTCCACTGAGTGTAGACTCATTAAGCTAAAATAACACTGAGCAGCACCAAGTTAGGCTGATTTCAAATTGCTCAGGTTCTGTTTCTTGTTCATTTGAACTGAATTTGCTTTTTCAGGAGAAAAAGCGCAACTATTGCAACAATTGTTAGCATCTCTCAGGGGTTACGTTGCTAATAATAACAGCAGAAATAAAAAAATAATTAGAAATGAAATGAAAAAGCAGCAAGGCACTCTCCTATTTCCATAGATTAGGCATCAAAATTATTGCCTTGTAGGATGAATAGAACTATAGATTAGATGTAAAACCTAATCTGTGGTGAAAGGGGATGGAAGAACCTCTCAAGTTCTTGATGAGCACATTTATTCCCCAGAAACAGAGCTGCAATATCTGCCAGCTTTCCTGCAGATCCATCAGATCTGTTCTCTATTTATTGGGTAAATTCTTGTTTTAATGGAAAATGAAGGAGAATAACACCAGGAAAAACAGAACATATAAAACAGGGAAGTGTCAGGATTCAAATTTCTGCTGTTTGCTCCATTTTGAGACGTTTTGAGTTCTACCTGTGACATATTTTGAAATATTCCCGAGCAGATCCTGTTATTATATGTTAATCAGCTTGCCTGTTCCCTTTATTATTTTAGGCAATGGATAACTTGTATGGAACCCATACTTTCTTCCTGTGTTTGGAAGACAACACTGGAGCCTCCTTTGGTGTTTTCCTGATGAACAGCAATGCCATGGGTAAGAAACCTTTCTCTGGGGCTCTGAGAAAGTTGAATTTCTTTTGAAATTATTGCAATAAAACTGAGCTGGTATAAGTGTCCCTTCTTAAAAACTCCCCCAGTATCTGAAAGCAGTCATTACCTTGTGTCTAATAACATTTCAAACACAAGCAGTGAGTAGGTCCCAGTTAACTGGAGGGATTTGATGGAATTCTGAGGGTCAGGAACTCATCCAAAGGCTGTACAGATCTGCTCTGGAATAAGAGACTAAATTTGGAGGGAACAACACTTGGAAGTAAATGTCCTTTAATCCCTTCAGATATTTATATTTATGTTTACTGAGCTCTGCACATCTTTGGGCTGGAAAGTTGTACTGAAAATTCAGAGATAAAAGGTTGAACCATAGGATTTTTTCTGATGCTCTTCTCTGTAGGATGCAAAGGAATGGAAATAGGGACACATCAAGATTTGACTGATTTCCCCTGCTTTGCAAGTTCAATTACTGATTTAGAGTTCTTTAGGCATTTTGTGGTTTTTACTTCAGTAAATTTTCTAACCATCAATTAGAAAAGTTACTTTAGAATTTCCTGTGCTTCAGAGCTGTTTTTGTGCCCTCTTGTCTGGCAGAGTTTGTGGTGCAGCCTGCTCCAGCAGTGACCTACAGAACCATTGGAGGCATCCTGGATTTCTACATCTTCCTGGGGAACACTCCAGAGCAAGTAGTCCAGGAGTACCTGCAGGTACCTTCACCTACAGGGATTATGCATTGGACAGATTTTTTCAGAGTGCTTGGAATTTATTTTATCATATTCTTTTTCTCTGGGCGCTGGAGAGGAGACCATTTTCCAGGCCCAGGAGCTCCAAAATTCATAAATCTGTAATTTGCACCGTGGCCATTGGAGCTGGAGGTGGTCTCTAGAATAATTTGTTTCCTTGCTCTTGTCATGAGGAAAATATGGCAATATTATGGGATAGAGAGTGTGTTTACAGGATATCTGGATCTTATGATCACAAGATATCACTGAGTGTCTTTTGCACTTCTCAAGACCTTCCTCAGTTCCAGTGACACCTTAATGGGCATTGTCCCAAAATACAAGTATTTATTTAAATAAATAAATCATAAGGAAAAAATATTGTATTTAGGAGTGGGCTGCCATTTAGTGTGTGCTATTGGAGTAGATTTGAGAAATGTGGTGATGCCTTTTCAGGACTGCCTAAAACCAGAGGGCAGCCAGAGTGCAGGGAATAAAAAGCAGTTCTGTTGGATGCAGGGAAAGGGGATGAGGTGACACAGGGTGTCCAGCAGCACGTGGGGTTTTTGTTTTCCCCTCACAGTTTGTGGGACTGCCAGCACTGCCTGCCTACTGGAACCTGGGATTCCAGCTCTGCCGCTATGGATACGCCTCCCTGGATGAGGTGAAGGAGGTGGTGGAGAGGAACAGAGCTGTTGGACTGCCCCACGTGAGTACAGGGCTGGGGAGCACTCCAAGATCCCACAACTGGCTCATTTTCCATGAGCTTGGGTTAGGAAATGTGTGGTGTCAAAGGTTTTTGTGGATTTTGGCGTTAGACCCATTATCAGAACACTGGATGAGGGGTGGACCATTGAATTGTCTCATCCCATCAAGGAATGTCCCATCTAACTGCAGTTAGATTTATTCAAACACTTCCTTGTAATAATTTTTCTTTTATTCTTTCCAACTCTGTCCATTTTTCTTCTCTTGAAACATTTTTTTTATTGTCCTATGGACAGTTATGGAACCATATATTACTCTTAATTGACAGTCAAAGGCAAAGTGCAATTAACTTTTAAAATTAGTCTTTAGGGGCCATGAACCTGATGTCTTCAATAGAATAAAATACCCTAATATTCAGCTGATATTTAGGAAGAAAAATAATAAAAATCATTACCTATCGCTTCTCATGGAAAAGCTGAACTCCCTTCTCTTTCAGGATATCCAAGTCATTGATATTGATTACATGGAGAACAGGAAAGATTTTACTTATGACAAAGTGAAATTCAAAGACCTCCCTAAATTTGCAGCTTATTTGCATGAGCATGGACAAAAATACATCATCATATTGGTAAGCACTTAATTACTCCATTTTTTCCCTTGTGAACACTTTCATTACAGTTATTCATTATTGTTATTCTTTACTTATTCTATGCAATTACTTCATTTACAGCCAGTAATAATGGATGGAATATCCTGATTTTTTTCTTTTCTTTGTTGTTTTCTAATTTCTTTAGGATCCTGCTATTAGCACCCAAAAAATGGCTGATGGAAGTCCCTATGGAAGCTACGTCAGGGGAACAGACAGAAATGTCTGGGTTAATGAGTCAGATGGAACAACACTGGTTGGGGAGGTAATTGTGGTTTTACACATTTGAATTTGATCTGTTGTCACTGTTGTTATTTAATTTAGCTCAGGGGGCTTATCTGTCAGTGAGAGCAAAGTTTGTAAGGTCTCTTGTAGGCTATGATAATTCTCAGCCTTTCTTAGCTTTTTTTCAATTGCTTACATTAAAAAGGTATTTTTCATTGATTCTACATAAAAATTTTTTTTAAACTTTAATTTTTTAAAGAAAAAATAGAACTAAAATAGCAATTAAAATTACACTTGCTCACATTAACCTTATTTTTTTTACATTAACACTAACATTTTTTTACATTAAAGGGTAGTTTGAAGGCTCAAGGGACATTTCATCAGCCAGCTCCTATTTATTTCCAGTAGCAACTGAGGAGCCAGAACTCACATTATCCTTTTAATTTATAAACTTAACTTCCATTGAGAACTTTCTCAGCTGTGTATTGTTGACTCACAAGAAAAGCAATTGAAAAATTCAAAGTTAAGAAATTCATACTCTTTGTGTTCTTCAACCCCATCCAGCCTGAGCAGGTCTGTGATCCTGACAGTTTTTTAACCTCATTCAAAGTTTCATTAATTACTTTCCTTTGGATATTCCAGGTGTGGCCAGGAGAAACTGTGTTCCCAGACTACACCAGCCTCGAGGCCACGAACTGGTGGGCGAACGAGTGCAAACTGTTCTATGACATGGTGCCCTATGATGGAATATGGATTGTGAGTAACTCAGGATTTTTACTTTTATTTTTAAAATATGGGTGATAGCAGATGAATTGAATTTTTATTGGATTGAAAGGTATTTTTGCAATCAGAAAGGAGATGTTGAAGAATAGCTACTAATGATTCCTTAAAGGATGACAGAATAGATTGGAAGAATTTTTTTAGGGAAATGTACTTAAGGCAACTTTATTACATCCTGCATCTTTCCTTTCCAGGACATGAATGAAGTGTGCAACTTTGTTCAAGGCTCAAAAAAAGGTTGTGCAGACAATGAGTTAAACTACCCTCCTTACACTCCCAGTAAGTCCAGCTACTTTAATCAGAATAATAAAATATCAAATAAAATGTTAATTGCCTTCAAGGATAAAACATTACTTTAGTGTAGTTCTTATGGGTGGGGTTTGGACGTTCCTATTGACAGAAAATATTTCTGTGTTTGTATTGTATACTTCAGGTGTAGTTTATAGAACTGCCTCTGTTATCTCATCAAATAAATACTGGATATTGTCATTGCCTTAATTGTGTCTGATAGTGCAATGATCCTCTTGCACTGTCAGTAGTTTTTCAGATATTTGCAGAACTAAAATGGAGTTCATAGTTTGTAGTAATAGTAGATTTAAGTAACCTTTGCCAGTGTGCTGTCAGATGGTGATTCAGGAATTCAGAGCACAGTTCTCGGTTCCCTGGATGGGTGCAAAGCTCAGGAGTGGAAATATCACAGAACAAACATGAACCAAACCAACAGCCAAGAGCAGCATTTTGGTTTTGGAGTAATCAAACTGCCTGAGTGAAAGAATAAAGAGCAAAAACAGGCTTGAATATAATAAATGTGCATTAAAGATTGGAAATCTTAATAATAAAATGTACCTTACCTGTGCTGTCTGTATTCCTTCCTTCAAGGGATCCTCGACAGAGTCATGTACTCCAAGACACTTTGCCTGGATGCAGTGCAGAGCTGGGGCAAGCAATATGATGTCCACAATCTTTATGGATATTCCATGACCCTATCCACTAGGAAGTAAGGAATGCATCCTAAAATCCTGCAGAAAGGTTTCAGAACAGTCCATGACTTGTATTTTCCAAAGCACCATGAGATCTGACTGCTAAAGGAATGAGATTCCTGGAAAATGCTGTGTTGTGTTTGAGCCAATTTAGCCAAGGCAAAAAACACATCCTGGAGTTGGTAGGAAAAGCCACAAACTGGCTGCCAAAGCTGTGTAAAGAGATTATTTCAAATTAGTATCTTGAGCTTTGCTAAAACACACCTGCAAAGGCGTCCCCATCCTTGGGGTGAATAATGAGTACAAATAAGTGTAAGTCTGCTTTGTTCAGAATTGTCAGTGTCCGAGTTGTCTTTTCCTCTGTGTAATTCCAGCCTCTTTCCTTTCCAGAGCCATTGAGGCGTTGTTCCCAGGAAAGAGAAGCTTCCTCATCTCGAGGTCCACTTTTGCAGGATCAGGAAAGCACGGGGGACACTGGCTGGGGGACAATGCAGCCACGTGGGACCAGCTGAAATGGGCAATCCCTGGAATGCTGGAGTTCAACCTCTTTGGAATTCCTTATGTAGGACATCAGTTCATGCAATCCTTTCAAAACAGATTATCTAACCAGGCACTCTTGAAATAACCACTTACACTGGCACCTCAAAATTAACCCTTTTTAGGAATCTCCTTTGAACATTTATTTTCAATTATCAATTTTTGATTTAGGCTGTTTGGTTTTTGTGGCTGTGGTGACATAAAAGTGGGTAACAAACTTATCTTATATATCCCAATCTACCTCTTATTTTAGTAATTTTTAAACACCAGTGGGGATGTGAAACAATTCCTGGTTTTCTTATAATTTCAAATTAGAGACATCCACATAGAAGGGAAATGGCCAGAATCCTTTTTATGATTTAAATTTGAATGGCTTTGAAGCTTTTTTTCCCATTCTGTGCCTATGATTACCAAACAAGAAGGTAAAATTTGGAAGAAGCAGAGTGATGGGCAGTGTTAGTGAGGGGTCAGTTTAATTTGTTGGTCAGTGTAGCTGGATTTGGGAGAGGAAAGTTACAAATATGTTGTACCTTTTGAGGTGCACTATACATCCAACATATTCTGATGCTTTAAATTTATTTTTTTTTTAAAGGTTGGAGCAGATATTTGTGGTTTCAGTGAAGACACCACAGAAGAACTTTGCAGACGATGGATGCAAGTGGGAGCATTTTACCCATTTTCCAGGAACCACAACGGTGAACATGTCATAGTAAGTTGAGCTTTCTGTTCAAAGCTGCTTTGTGTTACACAACCACATTTCCTTTAATATCACTTCTAATCCTCACTCTCACTGAGCAGCTTGCAAACAGAACCTTAAGCTGTGTTTATGAAATTATAGATGGGAGAGGCTGGGTTCCATAAGGATTAATTGAGAATATTGGCAACAGCTTTATGAATTTTGGTTGCTCCTATCACCAAGAAACACCGAGGTCTGTGTGAACCACCAGGCCAAGCCCTGGGAGCTCCTTGGCATCAACCTGAGAGCCAGGATGAATCCTGGAATGCCCCTGATGGACAAGGAGGGATGGGCAGTGCAAACAGCCCAAGAGGGACAGGACACCGGGTCACAGCACCAGAAAGGAGAACCCAGTGCAGAGCTGCCCCACAGAACCCCAGCCCCCTGAAACAGCTTTTCACACCTTTGGCAAAGTGTTTCTGGCAATAATAACAGCGGATTTTTGTTTCCAGCATCAAGATCCAGCTGTGTTTGGAGCCAACTCCTTGCTGGTGAACAGCTCCAAGCATTACCTGAACATTCGCTACACTTTGCTGCCCTACCTGTACACGCTGCTCTACAAAGCTCACACCCAAGGGGACACGGTCACGAGGCCACTGCTCCACGAGTGAGTCTGGGAATTTATAAACAACAGGGAAATCTGAGACATTTCATACCGCTAGGGGACTTTCTAAACCTCTATCCTCTGAAAATGCACATTGGGATATCCGTAGGTGCCTTCCGAGCTGGTGAAACCCCATTTTGGCCTAATCAGGGGGTGATTTTTATATGGCATCCTTTAGCCATGGTTGTGGAGAATCAGTACCCCGAAACCTTGGGGTTGCTGCTGATATAAATCACAAAAAAACGATTTCTGCTCTTTCCTTCACATTTATTCAGGTTCTACTCTGATGAAATAACGTGGGACATCGACAGGCAGTTCCTGTGGGGCCCTGGGCTGCTGATTTCCCCTGTTCTTGAGCCGGTAGGTTTGGCTGGTTTGGGACCTGTCTGAGTCACCAGCCTCTCTCCTTCATTTACTGCTTCCAGTGAGAGAGCCCACAGCACATTTTTACCCCTGCTGAAACAGAAAATCTTGCAGTTAAATCCTACTCCTGTTTGCCAGTCTTCTATGGAGTCAAGGATATCTGGTCTGATATTCTGCTTTACCTCATCTTCACATCATCTCTGAGTTTCCTTTGGAGTCAGCTTTCAGCTTCTCTTGCTGCAATTCAGCTTCTCTGTGGTACCACAAGAAAACAAAAAGGTTGTGGCTTATTCTGTGGCAGAATCTTGTAAATAATGATTTCTCCTGCCAGCAACACATTTGCCATGGACGAACATAAAACATTTGTTAAGGACAGAAAGGGAAGGCAAGAATCTGGAAGGTGCCAGCCCCAAAATAAATGGGAATAAAGAAGATAGAGAGATACCCGTGGATAGGATCTGGTTCACTGGGTTTGAAGCATTCTGGCTTTGGGTGGCTTTCAATGAGCTGCCACTTTGCAGAGCAGCAATTCAGTCACACCCCAGCAGCTCTGCAGGAATCTGCTTGGATTGCCCTTCCCCCTGTCTGGACTCCATCCTAAACACCAGGAAACAGCAGAGTGTAGGAATATAAATTATTTTCTCACACTGAACTTCAGCTTTATTGGAAAATTGAGTTTATCTGATGAAGTTGAAATCTGAAGGTTGTTTCTTTATTCACTTTTAGGGTGTGGAGTCCACTCGTGTGTACTTTCCTGATGCAGAGTGGTACGAGTATGACACGGTAAGGAAATGCAGGGATATTATGGGATATTACACCATTTTCTAAATGGGAATGTGATGAAATAGGATTGTCAGCCCTGCTTTGGAGACAGAGACCTGAAGGAAAGACTTTGGGGTTACTTGGGAGACAAGGGATGAAGGGTGGAGGGATAAGCACAAGAACTGGTGGCTCAAGAAAGGGCTCAGATTATGACATTAAATCAGAGTGATAAGCAATTATTTTATTTTACCTGCCCATTAGCCCATAGATATTTTTTTTATAAGGAACAATTTGATGAAACTCAGGACTTAAGAAAACACTCCCAGCAGTGGGTAATACAGAATTCCTGTTCTCTTTTCAATCTCTGTCCATAAGGGTGAACCAATGCAACTGAAGAAAGTATGGCAAAACATACCAACCCCTGGAGACAAAATGGGGTTGCACCTGAGAGGAGGATACATTTTCCCTACTCAGAAACCAGAGATCACCACAGTGGCAAGGTAGGATCCCAAATGGAAGACTTTAAACTTTTTTTTTTCCTCTCATAACAGGGCTGAGGACTTCTAGGCTACAAATAATAGCAGCCCACTGTATTTAGGATTTTCACCTTGAAATGTGAATAGCTGTGAGCCAAACCTCACTTCCACACCTTTAGTGATGAATTATTTGCATAGAAATTTGTAAACTCACCGGGTATTTTAATCAATTTGCATGAAAATGAAAGGAAACCAAGGATTGAACTTATTAAGGCAATTCTCCAAGGTTTGTTACCCTGTTGGGTGTTTCACTCTTGCATGAACATGCAGGATGCACCAAGAATGTTCAGATGTTTGTTACACACATAAATCTCTCTTCTCACAGCCGCAAGAATCCAATGGGACTCATAATTGCCTTGGATATCAACAATGAAGCTTCTGGGGATTTGTTCTGGGATGATGGAGAATCCACAGGTGAGCAGCCACCAGCAGTGAAATAAATATGGTAAACAACGATCTAATGTGCTCAGATTTCAATGTTCCTGCTGAAAAGAAGGCATTGTAACACACTGCTGCTACTTGCTCATAAATCAAATGGCTTTCATCACTTCGAAGCAGAAAACTGTGACTATTATTAATGTAAGAATGAAGTCACGACTTAATTCGACACAAGTAAAGAAAAAAGACACAAGGCTCTACTCTAAGGTCAAACGTCTGGTTTTCAGGAGAAATCTTTAGATTGTCAGGAGGTGACAGGATGGGATTTTCCCATGGGATTTAGGAAAACCACTGCCCATCCAGGGAGGTGTCTGAACACCAATATTGGAAAACCTCACACTTTCCACTTGCACAACTCCTTTTTCTTGTGGACTACACCAATCGTATCTCCCAGGAAAACTCCCAAGCTTCTGCTTTTTGGAATTTAGTGGAAGCTGGGGCTGCTTTTAAGACATAGAGCAGTGATTCAGCTGATTATTGCTGCCATAAATCCAGCAGGCCTTGGGTGGCTGCTGTGCATGGGGGTGACAGCTCCATGTGCTCCTCTGGCCTAAAATAACAAAGCCATTACTGCCCTCACTGCTGCTGCCAAACAGAGCAATAAAACATTCCATCATTTTATGGCCTGCCCAAAACTTACAGGTTGCAGTTTTACAGGGAACCATTTGCAATTTGCTTGTGATGGCAGGATTTGTCTTTTCATATGGGGCATTAAAAAAAAAAAAAAAAGCCAGATTGACCATGCTTTGTATTTCTTTTTCCTGGTTATTTCCTCTCTTATGGTTTCATAGCATTTATAATTATTATTGTCATCATCATCACCATTATTTTTGTATGAAGAATCCTTATTTAGGTTATGTTAAAAGGATTAGCTTTGATTAAAACTTCTATATTTAAGAAAAGCTAAGAAGAAATAAAAGTAGAATTTAAAAATCACTACATTTTAGAAGAGCTGCTTTCAATGAATTTTTGTGGAAAAAAAAATAGATCTCCTGGGAGACTGGCCAAAGGAAAAAGGGACTTTTCAGTTCCTCAAAAAAAAACATTAGTAAATATTTGAGTTGCTTAGTGCAGCTTTTAATGCAGACCTGATAATTAAGTTTATTGGTCTCTAGCAGTGGCACAGCCTTACTTTAATTTTACTGTTTTCTGCACTCCATCTGTAACTTCTTTCTTTACCTTTTAGATACAATTGACAAGAAAGCCTACATTTACTATGAGTTTAAAGTTTCCAACGTAAGTATTTGATTTTAATTTCTGGTTTTTATCCAGTATCTTTTGAGAGTGTTCTTTTCTTTCTTTATTCTCCTGTAAGATTTGCTGGAAAACAAAACATGTACCAATGCCAAGAGGTATCATGTTCAAAATACTCCCATTTAACTGGGATGAAATCTGTTGTCTTTTTTCCTCCTATTTAATAGAAATATCTAAATAACTCCTATTTCCTTCCACATAATAAACTCAGTGGCAATATTCACTGAACAAGAGAACTCTAAAGCACAAGAGGCATTTAAAGCAGAGTCAAAAAGGAGAAGCATGGAGTGTTTGTGATTCTCAAAATGGTGGCACTGTAAAAATATATATATTTTATACTGTGAAAATACAGCTGAATGTCTCCAAAGAGTGAGGGAGACCCACACCTTGCCTGAACCCTCGGAAACTACATCAGTTTTAAGTTTTATTGTGTTATTTTAAGCTGAAAGTGCCTTTGCAGGGTTCATTGCCATCAGGGTGGCGTCCTGATAGTGTTTCTATCTAACATTGACAGCAACTATCACAAAACAAGGATTGCCAATAGCATGGTAACATGTTATTTGTACAACAATAATAATAACAACATTAATATCGGGTAAAGGTATGCATTCCTTTGCCATGATGAAAGAGCATAAACTGAGTGAGAGACGCAGAGGAGCATGAGTTGTGCGCATGAATTAGCAATTTTTGAAATCATAATTAATCAAAGAGTCATTTGTAGGTGAGGCACCCTGGCTGCTGTTGGAGTTTGAAACGCCAGCAGCCAAGACACGACTTGGCAGTGACGACATCTGAGTTAAAAATTACCCTCAGCGTTCCCATGGAGGGCAGTAAGGAAGTTCCACACACGTGTGGCAGCCACGGTGCACTTCCTCTGCTTGGACTCCTAATCTAAAAATAACTCATGGAACAGAATAGGAAGTGGCATTTTTATACCAAGAGAAGTGAGAACCTTTGGATGTTGGAACCCAGCGAGTCTGGAGTTTATCTGCCCTGCCACAGGCCCACCCCAGCCTTTCTTTACTTCCCAAGCAAGGAAAAAAAGCTGAAACACAACTCTGAGGATTATTTTATACATGGTAGAAAAGCTTTATTGTGATAGTAACAAGCAGAGCAATAATTGATATGTGTGGAAAAAGATATTGGTTTATTTATGCTACAATGTGAAAATCTTCATAGAAAAAGAAAAGTTAAATCAGGAGGACTTTTGGCAGATTTTTTAAAAGAAGAATATGACCTCTGTATTATTTTTCAGAATGCTCTGCAAATGACTGCTACACACAGCAATTATGCTGATCCAAACAACCTGAAATTTGAGGAAATCAAGATACTGGGATTGTCCAAGGAAATAGCATCAGTTTCTGTGTCTCAGAACAATGTTGTGCAAGCTTATACTGCTGATATCACCTACGATCCTGCAACAAAGGTAAAGCAATAACAGGGAAATGGAAAGTAAACATATTTAAAATTGCATCAACTTCATTTTATATATTGCAAAGGACAGTAACTAGTGCCAATGTTACTTCAATGAAATACAATGCGAATTTTATTACAGAATAAAAGTACAATTGCATTCAACTCCGCTGCATAAAAGTGCATCTAAGTTATGCTCACGGTGCAGCAGACAGCTTATTTCATGTATTTATTCCTGTTTGCTTCCAAGGAACGTGTGGGATTAACTCCATATTTTTAGTGTCTTAATTCTTCAGATTTTATCTGTAAAAATATCCATTGTGTGTGTCTGTAAAAGTGAGACTGTATCAAATCTTACAGGATGGGGTTTTGTGAATTTTAAATTTTTAAGTATATTATTCTTAAGGACCAGCACCTCTTCTGACTGAAGAATAGCTGGATGGGATGTGACATTTAATAACTGTTTATTGTTTCGTATTTATAAGGTTGCTGTTATAAAAGGACTTCAGCTTGAACTGGGAAAATCTTACACAATCAAATGGACTCTAAATATGAATATCAATGAAAGATTTGATTGTCATCCCAGCCCTAATGCAACAAAAGAAAAATGTCAACAACTTGGCTGTTCCTGGGAAGTAAGTCATTATTCCTCCAAACTAATTATACACACAAAAAAAATCCAGACTAAAAGGATTTTCTTTGTGGTTGTTACAGAATAAAAGTGGTCTGAGAAATTTGTCAGGTTTAAATAAAATGGGCCTCAGCTGGACTGTACTGATGGATTTTATTTACCTCAGTAGCTGACAACCATTTAAATTCTACCACATTGTATCAGGACTTGAGGAAAAATTAGGTATTTCTTGAAAGATGAACAGAAATAACAATAGAGTTATGAAAAAGCAGAAGAGCATCTTCAGCTGTCCCTTCTGCCACCATGGCCTGCGAGGCTCAGCCCCTTTGTGTCACCTTTGTGTCACTCAGGGACATTTTAAGTCAAATTAATTCCTCTGGATCTCAGTTTGAGAGGAAATCCTTGAATTCCACAAAAATTTTGAATCATTTGTAAGCTTGTTTATATCTGCATCAAGGAGCTGCTTCCAAACCTTCATTTCCAACATGAAGTTCTTTAACACATGGTTTTATGTATCATTATTAATTATTAATAAACATGTGGGAGCAACATGGCCTGGCAGGTTGAACTTCAGAAGGTACCTCCAGCTAAATTATTCTCTATTCTTCTAAATCTAAAATGCCTATTTTGGGCCTTTCCTGTAGGAATGAAATCCAAAATTCAGTGCTGGCTGCTCCTGCACCAGCACCTGCTGAGGCAGTTGATGAGCTGCTCTGGTTTTGTTGTACTACTGAAAGGACTTTTTATAATTTTGGACATTTGGAAATGTCAGGAGATCTCAGATGAATAGGATGTAATTTTCACTGGATATATTAAGGATAATTTGTGTGAATAAAGCCGGTGGAAAGATCTGCTCTGATGCTGCCTGAGTATGAAATGGTTTTTGGGCACCTCCCCTTGGAGGCGGCCAGAGAGAAATGGGATTAAAAGGGACGAAGTTTAGGAGTTCCCACAAGCCAAGATTAAACCATGTTGAGGGATTGATCTGAAGATCACAGAGATGGGGAAATTAAATCCTTCTTAATTGCATGAGGATTCAGTTTCCTGACTGAAATATTTGCACAGCCTTCACTGGATGGCTTTATTACACCTGAGTCAGCACAGAGATTATTCTCTACTATTTCTTTATATTCCATGTCTTTATTATTTTATTTTTAAATTATTTCTTTATATTCCATTAATTAAAGGATTCCTTTAATTTTCCCCCCCAAATTCTACATTTGACACAGATCTGATAAAAACAGGATTCCATGCTAATAGCTAATAAAAAATCCAGCTGATTTGCTAACCTGAAACTCCTTTCTGTTTGCACCAGGAGACATCAAATCCAGATATTCCTTCCTGCTACTACAGCTCCAGCAATCCTTACCTTGTAGACAAGGTTGATTATTCCTCCACTGGAATTGTAGCCACCCTCACCTTGGATGACTCCAGGGTCAGGGCCAGGGCTAACGATGCTTACACTACCCCAATCAGCACCCTGCGCCTGGAGGTGAAATACCATCACAACAACATGCTGCAGTTTAAGGTAATGCCATCCCAGAATTCCTCAAATGTTTTATTTATGGAAATTCAAAGGGCTTTTTATGGCCAAATTTATATTTCACAGACAGAAGCAGCCTTGTGTAAATATGTCTCTCCTTCTAAGCAATTATTATTGCTTTTAGCTTGCATCTTTTTTTTTTTTTTTGTTCTAGAATCCTAGCACTCAATTTTAAAAAGAAATTACATGAATCAAAGGTATAATGCCAGTGTATGTGTGTAATGTCAACCAGGAACTTTGAAAGTGTTTTGTTAATATGCAGGTAAATTTACCTGTAAGTGCTCTCATGACTCTACAGTTTATTTTTACATCCACCATTGCACTTCTGTTTTAAAATTGTCCATGCACTGTTGTTTAACTGTAATTTATTGCCATGTGTTTAACAACATTGAGCTAAGTGGTCAGACATTAAAAACTAACTTCTATCAGCTTTCAAAATACAGAAAACCTGAAAAAGAATCCTAAAGGTTGAGTAAAAGAACTAGAAAATTATTTATCACACAAAGTATATACACCAAAATATATACACCTATGTACAAAATATATACACCAAAGTATATACACCTATATTCTAAATATAAGAATATACTTTAAATTCATGTAGATAATTAGACAAACCATTCCTCATCCAAAAGAAATCTTTAAGTTTCGTTGGTTGAAACTTTCACAAAATCCTGTGAGAGATCAAGGATATGCATTTGAAAGAAAACACTCACCACAGCAGGTGCTTTAAAATCTGCATCAGATTCAGACTTCGAACAACTGACTTGTTTAACTAAAGTGACATTTTCTTCACAGATCTATGACTATGCAAACCCACGGTACGAGGTCCCCGTGCCCCTGAACCTCCCCAGCTCCCCCACGAGCTCGAGCCAGGACCGGCTCTACGACGTCTCGCTGCAGATCAAACCCTTCGGGATCCAAGTGCGCCGCAGAAGCACGGGCACGGTCATGTAAGCCACTGCCACCCTTTGTTATTTTGTGTCACACGTTTTTGGTGGCTTTTTTCGCGCCAAACCCTCTCCCCGTGCGCGTGCTGGAGTGAAGAACGCTGGCGGCTCTGCAGGCTGTTCCTTGTGCGATCCCCAAGTTTCTGGGAGGCAAAAGGATTTTGGACAGTTGCTAAAATATTCCTTAGGTGACCACAGCACTGCTCATTCAGGATTGGCCATTTGGGTCAGTTTTGGGGAATGGTTAAGGAAAAAAATAGTGGGAAGTGGTGTCCCAACTACTTTGAGATGGGTTTTGGTAACACAACAGAAGAGTCTGGCAGGAGCTTCATTTTTCCTTGATTAAGTCAGAGTTAGAAAATGGAGAACAGTTGAGTGTGTTATGTTTTTTATTCAAAAAACCAATTTTATTTAATTTTTTTAAGTACTCAAAACCTAATTGCAAGTTGAGTTCCATTTGCCAACCAGAATAATAATTCAACCTGTAATTGAAGCTCCTGGAATGATGAAATTCTCTGGCAGAGCCCACCAGGCTGCAGTTTGATTTCTAACTGGAAAGATGCTGATTTATAATAAATGTGACCTGTGAATGCAATTCCAGTGTAATCTGCACAGAAAGCCCAGTGAACTGTAAAAAGCACTTTGTTTACTATATTTCATGTGGCTCCAGTGCTCGGTCTGGAAGGAAAATAGGATTGCAGTGTCCTGAAATGCATTTTCTCTCTAAATTGCCAAAATACGACACAACTTGCAGGGCACGATGTCTGTGTGCTATTCCTCTCTGAATGACACAGAGGATTTGGTGTCCCTAAACTCTTCAGCAATTCTTACACACCCCCATTTCATGTCCTTTAAGTTTTTTTGATAACCACAACAGTTTTAGTCCACTTTTACTGAAGAGTGAGGTTTCCAGAGAAAAAGCATGGCTCAAAAGGAAGTGTCTGCCAGAAACACAGCCCTGAGGACGCCGTGTTCTAATTTTCCCTTTCCTCTTCCCACTTCAGCTGGAGTTCAGGCCTGCCCACCTTCACCTTCAGTGACATGTTCATCCAGATTTCCACCCGCTTGGCATCCCAGTACATCTATGGCTTCGGAGAATCGGAGCACCCCAGCTTCCGACACAACATGAGCTGGCACACCTGGGGAATGTTCACCAGGGACCAGCCTCCAACTGTAAGTAGGCAAAGAAGAAGAAAATGTGATTTCTGAACCAATGAGCACAGAGCTGTTCAGCACAACTTTAAAGTCCAGTGGGTGTCTGCTGGTACTGGGCATTGGCTCTGACCATATTTATCATGGTTTACAATTTCGATGGTGTCTCCATGGCAAAGGTCATCTGTAAACCCATTATTTGTGACCTGAAAGAACAATGTGAAGAGCTCATGCCCTCAATCAGATGTTGGAAGGTGACAGATGGCTTAAGAGTAACAGCACGTTCCTCCTTTTTACTATTCTTCTCTGCTCATTGTTTTGAAAATTAGACATGAGTCAGAACAATTCCTCTTGCTTGGGGATTAATTTAGTACTTACACAGGTAAAGCAGAAATCTTATCTCTGTTTATTTGTCTTATTTCCTTCAAGATAGCAAATTTCCAGTTATCAGGGAATGGCCAATGAAATAGCAGCAGCTAATTATATCTCTAACTTCCAGTTCAGGCAGGAACACATTTTGAGAAAATTAAATATAATATCACCAGCACCTCCTGAGCACACAGACACCTGGTTCTGTTTGCAAAGAAGGGAAACTTTTGTCCTGAGGAAGCACCTTCTCATTAGTGAAATTTAAGTGCAGCAATGCCTTTCCTTCCTGCCTGAGCAGTCTTGACAAACCTGACAAATTGTGAGGCTCCGAGTGACCTTCTGCAGGTCTGTTTTGTGGTTAGGTAGGGTTTAGGTGCATAAATTTAAAATTTATTTGCTATGTTTGGCAATTGTCTCATCTTTCATTAAATTTATTACCAAATGTTAATAAGCAAATGTTTGCAATGTTTCCCCAGTAAAATGTATTTTGTTTCACTTGCAGTACAAGTTGAATTCCTATGGTGTTCATCCATTTTATATGGCTCTTGAAGAAGATGGCAATGCCCACGGAGTTCTCTTGCTTAACAGCAATGCAATGGGTAAGAAAACCTTCACTTTATCTCATAAAATCATGGAATGGTCTGGGTTGGAAGGGGCATTAAAGCTCATCCTGTTCCACCCCCTGCAGGGACACTTTCCACTGTCCCAGGCCACTCCCAGCCCTGTCCAACCTGGCCTTGGGCACTGCCAAGGATCAAGGGGCAGCCACAGCTGCTCTGGGCAACCTCAGAGCCTCACTCCCCTCACAGGGAGGAATTTCTTCCCAATATCCCATCTTAGCCTCCTCTCTGTCAGTTTGAAGCCACTCTCCCTTGTCCAGACCTCTGTAAATTGTCTCCGTCCTCCTCCGCGTGTTCCATTTTTACAGTCAGCATTTAGTGCTGGTGGCAAACCCAGGCCTCCTTTCCTCACTTCCTTCCCTCCACTTCCAGATGTGACTTTCCAGCCCACCCCTGCCCTGACCTACCGCACCATCGGAGGAATCCTCGACTTCTACATGGTTTTGGGCCCGACCCCCGAACTCGTGGTTCAGGAATACACCGAGGTAGGAGCCTGACCGCTGCTGGGCTTTGCTGGGTTGGTTTGGTTTCTCTTCCCCTCCTCACCACGAGCATCCTTTCCTCTTTCCAGCTGATTGGGCGCCCAGTCATGCCACCCTACTGGTCCTTGGGATTCCAGCTGTGCCGCTATGGATACGCCAATGACCAGGAGGTCGCCCAGCTCGTGGAGGAAATGAAGGCGGCTCAAATTCCCCATGTACGTTGGGAGAAAATAACATTTGAGCTTTTGGCTTTGTAGCTTTGACTAAATCCATTTAAACACTGAAGCAGTAACCAATTAAAAAAAAAAACTCACTGCGGTAGAGAAGAGCAGGTTTTGTGCCATGGACTCTGGGCTGTGTTAAAAGATGTTTAATTTTCTTAATTATTCACATGAAAGAATGAAGGAAGGAGCAGTGATTAAGAAAAACCAGCAGGGAATGAAAATGAAGCAGCATAATTTCATTGCCATAATGCTCTGTGTCAAGTCAGCTGTGATTTGGCCCAGGTCGTTGTTGGGGTAATAGGAATAGCACCTAGACCTAACAAAATTATGCTATAAATTGAATGTGGATTCATTTTAAATATAATAATATCAATGTTTCAATAGAGAACAGCTACTCCCATTGTTGCCTCATAGCTGTGGAAATATAGGTGCAGTTTCTGTGTACATATGTACAGACAAATCAATTTTTTTCTCTATTTTGTATCAATTTCTCCCCTCGGTTTAGATGCAGCAGTGAAAGGTTTATTTTGGTTTGCACCTGCTCATAAATTGTGTAATATTCATTTAACAACTTCAGACTGAAGTTACCACTGCTTCCAATTTTACACATGGAAAGCTCCATATTTTACTTATTTTCAATATTTGGCAAAAAGGAGGAGAAAATAACTTAAAATTAATTGGGTTTTTTTTTGTTAACTGCAGGATGTCCAATATGTAGATATTGACTACATGGAAAGGAACCTGGACTTCACCCTTTCCCCACGTTTTGCTGGATTACCAGCTCTGATCAACAAAATCAAAGCAGAAGGAATGAGATTTATCATTATCCTGGTCAGTTTTGGAATATTGTTTTTAAATTCTAATACAACATCACAAAATAGAGAATATATTCAACGTGGGTTTTGAGCATAAGGGTAAAAGTGTTTCTAATTGTAGGATCCAGCCATTTCTGGGAATGAAACCAATTATCCTGCCTTCACCAGAGGTGTGGCTCAGAATATCTTTGTACAATGGTCTGATACCAAAGAAATTTTGTATTCCAAGGTACTGTCCCGGGATGAGTATTTAAACCTGTGTGTTGTAATGCTCAGTTTGCGTTTAGTGTGGCTTGATTATTTAAAATATTCTTTGTCCTATTAGGTCTGGTCTTTTCTTCCCAATGTCCAAATCAATGAGTCACTGCCTCATGAAGACCAAGTAGAGGTAAATACTGACATGGTTTGGTTCTGGACTCAAATATAGACATTAATCAATTAAAATAGCAGCAAAATCATTGATAAATCTCACGGCAGGAATAAAGTGCAGAAACTGGTTAAGCCTTCCTAAAAGCCAAAAAATTTAGTGAACAAGCAATTATTTTTTGTTGTCTTTTAATTTTTGAGCAAAAGAGGGTTTGGTCATGAGGTATCACATTTTTATAAGTTTTATTCTGTTTGCACATAGGACTTAACTGTCCAATTAATAGCTTCTAATGATGAAGTTTCATCCTCCTTGCTTGCTTGCCCGCCCTTCTCTTCTCACATTGCTCATGCTTTGGGCCTGAAGTTTGAACAGCTCCAGTTGCTGTTGGGAGCTATTTTCCTTCTTATTCCTGTTATCCCAAAGTCACTCAGTGCTGCTGATGGGCTCAGCCAAGGGCAGGTCCCTCTTGGCTCCATCAGAAACGAGGAAGCTCCAGAAGTTTCTCACTGGAGCCACCCCTGCCAAGACCTTGTGCACACCCAGTGGAGTAGACAAGAATTTGGTAGGAAAAGGAATATCACCATTGTTTCTGTATTTCAAATATGAACTGTTTTCCTCTGTTTTGCAAGGCACAGCAACAGAAATCACTACAATAAATCTCACAGCTCACGCAGATACTCTCACACTGGAAATTTATAGCAAATGTTATCTACAAAATATATATACATGTATTTCAGTCCCAAATTTATTTTTTGGCAGTAACTGAAGGGGTACTTGTGAAACTGAAGAAATGCAATACTTTATTTTGATGCTAAACCATCCAAACAGAAAGATTATTTGCACACAAAACTCACAAAAGACTGTAACTGAGAAGTGAATCAGTATTTTATGTAACCTGGTGTCATTTCAGTCCTCCATCCATTAGACACGGGAACTTTGGGATATTGCTTTGATGCTGTTCTTTTGTAATGAGGTTTTTGCATAGCCAGAGTTCTTATTAGTGAAAACAGGAACTGTTTGGAGGTAAATGCAGCCTTTGTGACCTGAATAATTGTTTTTCATGGCTAGAGCTATGGAGCTGCAGGCCTGAGGCTCCAGGCACAGAACACTCAGGTCCTGCTCATCCCTGAGCAATTCTACATGTGACATTTGCTGTCCTCACTTTTGAAATTTTAGCTGCCACTTCCAAAGCATTATTGACACAGGGAAAGCAAGCAGAGAATTAAAGTGTTGGACAATGTGTTACAAAGGAATAAAGGATCTTAGGGAAGTTACTGTTTGTCTTGGAGGAAATAATTGTGGCACATTAGTGTGGTTTAATTGCTGTGGTAATTTAAGTGACTTGTGTATCTTTGCTGTAATTATGGTGTCACTAAAGCTGTAAATCCTATAGAAAAATAAGCAAATAGTGCCTTATTGAAGCAGCTTAGGCAATTATGGGGCTCTTGTTGGAGAGCAGTGGGATTTAATCAGGGTGACTTTCTGACTAATATTCATATTGATATCCTGTCACCTTGGTCTTTCAGAAGGGACTAAAAAGCCCTCTTTCTTTTTAATTCAGCACCTTTTAGTCAACTAAACTTATCCTGAGAGGTCCAATATTCCTGCTACCTCTGTTTTGACTCTTGTTAACCTTCAGGTTTAATTTTTGCTAAATTATTTCCAACTGTTGCTTCCAGTTTTTGTGTACTCTAAGAAAGGAAAGACATGCCCTCACACGCATTGTGGAGCACCTAGAAAACGGGCTTAGAAAAGTTTTGCTACATCCCTGTTTTCCTACAGAGGAGTTAGCCTGAGCTGGAAAACTCCCTTTTAATCCCTCATGTTTGCCAGTTCTCTTTGCAGCTGCAGGTTTGCTGGCCAGCTTTGCTGGGATTGCATCTGGAACATACAGAATTGCCATAAAAAGCGCGAATGAATTGGATGTACATGATGTAGCCCTTCACTAGGACAATACAAACCCAAATATTTCTTTTCAGAGGCTCTTCTGCAATAAATCCTCGTGCAGTATTTCTCCTGTAACTCGTTCCTGTGCCTGTTCCCAACGCAGGGCTTTGCAAGGTGCCACCAAGGAGCGCGGGATCATCATCAGCCGCTCCACGTACCCCAGCAGCGGGAGATGGGTGGGACACTGGCTGGGGGACAACACGGCAGCCTGGGACCAGCTGCACAAATCCATTATTGGTACGTGCCAGGGAAAGGGTCTGCATGCCTGCCATCACCAAATCACAGATTGGTTTGGGTTGGGAGGGACCTTAAAGCCCTAAATCCAGTTCTGCCTCTGCCATGCAGGGACACTGTCCACACACCAGGCTCCTCCAAGCATTATCCAACCTGGCTTTGCTTCTTCACCTCCTTGCTTTTTGTATTCCTCTGATTTTTAGCTGAAAAAACTTGTTCAGCAACCAGAATTTGTGGTCAATTCCTTTTTCACTGTTTCTTCTTCTTCTGTACCAGGTGCTGGGAACTCCTTTAATTCCCTTGGGACCAGGCCCCTCCATGCCCTGTGTCCTGCCACTCATTTTTTTTCTTTGCTCCTGTCCGCCCACATCCCATCTCCTTCTGTAGCAGGAAAATATGACACATTAGAGAAATTGTGGGGTTTGGATTTGTTTTTTTTTTTTTCTCTTCTGATTCAGCAGTGTAATAAACAGTATGAAACCACAAAGTAAAAAACCCAGCGAGTAACTCCAATTTATTTCTCTTTTCAGGCATGATGGAGTTCAGTCTCTTTGGAATATCTTATGTAAGCTAATGAGTTATTAACTTCTATTTAATTACTGTGATGCTGTACATGATAATACAGTTTTTCATTTGGGTTCTTCTGAAAATTTCAGACAGGAGCTGATATCTGTGGCTTCTTCAAAGACTCACAGTATGAGTTGTGTGTCCGCTGGATGCAGCTGGGTGCGTTTTACCCATATTCCAGGAATCACAATGAGAAAGGAACACGGGTGAGTTGCAATAAGAGTTTTTTAATAGTTCTTAGCAGCTGGGCCTTTGCAGAACCAGCCAGAACAATGCACAGGTGCCCTGGCTCAAACAAAAAAAAAATACATTCAAGGTAAAATGGAGAAAAACAGAACACTCTTGGCTCTTTATCAAATGAAAACTGTCATTATTTCTATGCTGGCTCTGCTGTGAGCCTCCCCATCACCTGGGAGGTTTTGTGCCCCCAGAGGGGCTGCTCTGGGATTTGGACACTACTGCTTCCCCTGGGTTTTTATCAGCTTTCCTCTTTATAGTTCCCCTCCTGGGGATGACAGTGACAACCACAGTTTTCACTTGCTCCTGAGGTGAAGAATAAACAAACGGAGATGCTCTGCTCCAGAGAGGAAAGTTCCTTGGTTTGTTTTGCTGCGTGGATTTGGTTTTTTAGCTTTCTCATGCAATCCAGCCCAGCCTCTCTAACAACACTCCCTTCTCTTCCAGAGGCAAGATCCTGCTTCCTGGGATGACAAATTTAAAGAGATGTCCAGGGACGTGCTGAACATAAGATACACCCTGTTACCTTACCTCTACACCTTGCTGTACGACGCCCACGCCCACGGCAGCACCGTGATCCGCCCCGTTCTCCATGAGTAAGTGCAATTCCCCTGCTCTCCTCACAAAAAATTCCCATTACTCCTCTAGTTGTGACCCCCTAACAGCAGAGTTGTCTCTTTGTTACAGCATTTCCCCCTTCAATTAAACAAAAACTGGGAAAAACTGAGCTTTTTGCATGTAGTGATTTGCTATTTTCAAAGAAGCTCAGAAAACAGTGTCTCAAATTAAAAAGTCTGTCCCAGTCTGTCCAAGATTTTATTACTGTAAATAATAAGCATAAGACCTTCAGAGTTTTGTTGTCCCAATGTACTGAAAAGCAAAAGCAAAGAAATGGACCAAAACCCCTAAAGCTAAGCACTAAACTTGCATTTCTCTAATGAGTGTTACATCAGTACCTTTGTGCAGCCATTAATTGATCTCGTAATTATTAACAGCAGTAACGAGGAAACAGATACTAGAAAGAGTAGGTGAAATTACTGACAGAAGGGTCTTCAAGGAGGAATTATTTGGGAAAGCTCAGCTCTGGCTGTCTCTTCCTGACAGGTTTGTGGGAGACAAGACCACGTGGGACATCGACGAGCAGTTCCTCTGGGGTCCTGCCCTGCTCATCAGCCCTGTGATGAGAGAGGTGAGCTTTTAAGCTCATTTAGTACTGGAAGTCAGTTTAACTAAGCTTCACTTTTTGATGTGAGGTGCCTAAAATTTGTGTGTTTAATTGCAGAATGATCGGAGTGTGAGGGCGTATTTCCCCGATGCCCGCTGGTACGATTACTACACAGTAAGTCATCCTAAAAAAATTGTATTTTAAAACTTGTATTTTCTGTCTTTTCACAGTGCTGAGTGTGGCAGGGGGTGGGAACACTCTCCTGCCTAATTTGCATTTAATATAAGTTCTTAGAAACATAAAAAGAAATAATAAAAATCCTCGATTCCTTTATAATAATGTGTAATAACATGACCAGAGTTATGATAAATGAAAAGGTGAAGTTAATACCTTTAATTTAGAGTTCTTTTCGCTTTTTGTAACCCTCAAATGATACACACAAGGTTTTTGTAATGGAATGTTCTAATAAAGAAAGAAAAAAACAGGTTTAGCTGCATAATTTTTCCTGGAAAATAATAAAAGATTTGGAAATAGGAAGAGCAGGATCAAAACTCCCTTCATTAACCACAGGTTTTGTTTTTCACCTGCTTGGCCCCTTTGGTTCAGCTGCCATCACCCATGGTCAGGCCAGCCTTTTATAGACCCAAAATTTCAGGGTTTCTCTTATTAATAGTTACTCCTGCAGTAACAAATCCTAATTAACCTGTCTAGAGAAATATTACATTTTGTTCTGAAGGAAAAAGATGTAAAAATTCTTTTATTTTTTTGTACACAGAACGCAGATACTGGCTTTAGGAAACAATTCCAAAGTCTATCTGCTCCTTTGGAGCACATCAACCTGCACATCCGAGGTGGATACATCCTACCTTGGCAAGCACCTGCTACTACAACTGCTTACAGGTAGGAAGAAGTGAAAAATTTAAATTTAATTTGGCTTTTTTGTGATTTTTTGGGGTTTTTTTTCCTAATGGTCTTTAGTAGTATGGGACGGGCAGATGGCTATGGGAGGTCAGGTGGGTGGTACATGACTTTACTGTAAAGAAATTACCATTTGGGAAATATGGAATGTGATTAGCTGAGGGAATTGAGAGAAAATTGTGTTTTCCACAGTCGGAAAAACCCGATGGGACTCACGGTGGCCCTGGATGACTCTCTGCTTGCAGCAGGACACCTTTATTGGGATGATGGAGTTCGCATCGGTACGTCCACGCCTTCTTCCCTTCCTAAAACCTTTTTTTTGCTGTGAGAATGGCTGGATACTGCCAAGTGAGGCTCCATCCCTGGGGGCATTCAAAGCCCAAATCCAAGCAGACAAAACCAAACCCAAGGATGTGAACTGGGGAGAGAGGGAACAAACTCTGGGGTGTCCGAGGAGGAGCAGAGGGAAGGGATGGACTTGGCCAAGGCCATTTCTGGGGGACAGATCTGAACTCACCTTCAGAGGCAAAACTGAAATGAAACCTGCAGACCAACATTACAGAAACATGATTCCTCCTGACTGAAGGCACACCACGCTGTGATTTACAGAATTAATATGTTGTATAAATGACCTTGTGCCCTGGGCCTGAGGAAAGGCAGAAAACAAAGATTCCCCCTCAAACCTGGGGGAACCATAACCACAGACTGTGTGAGAGCTCTCACTAATTTCCTCAACATCGCTAAATTTAAATTGTTTGCCAATAAGAGACACTGAGCTGGCATTTCTCCTCCCCACCCAGAGTGCACGACCCTTGTAATAACAATGAGATTCCCACCAGGAATGCAGGAAATGTGCCTTGGACAGTGACCTGGGGGGAGTTTGCAGGAGGCTGGAGGTGGATCTGGAGGTGCTTCACACCCTCTGTCATTCAGTCTGCTGGAATCCAGAAAGGACGGCCACATTTGGGGAAAACTGGTGCTAAATGGAATTTGGGTGGAGCATCTCGCAGGGTGACAGTCCCAGGAGTGTGGGATGGCAGGACAGGAGCCCCAGTGCCCAGGGATCAGCACTGCTCTGAGGGCAGGGACAGCAGAATCCCAGCAGTGCTGGGCAAACACCAGCAGAGGCTTCAGAGGCAGCAGCCCCACCACCTCATGTGTCACCTGGAATTGTCACCTGGCCGTGGAGGGGGATGTGGGAAATGACTCTTCATTTCTTCATTGCTTCAAACAAACGTTCTTCTCCTCATCTAAAGTCCCCTGATCTCCCTAGTGCTGTTTCTTTGCCTGCTTTTATATCTTACCCCTAAAATGCTCTCCTTTTATCCTCATTTCAGCTTTATATACACTAAAAGTATTTTATGTCTAATAGCATTCATCTTCCGGAAATGCACAACTTCTCTTTATTTGCATAAAAATATATCCCTTGTATTTGTAAGCTGTCCGTGGACAGAAATTTTGATAATGTGGCCAGCAAAGACATCTTATTTAATTTCTTTCACTCTTTCTTTCTAACAGATGCATATGAAGATGGTGTTTACCTGCTGACATCATTTACTGCTAAGCAGGTAATCACATTAGCTCCTATTTATTTAATAGTCACTTCAGGTGATTTTTTAAATATTTTTAACTATGGGTATTTTGATTTGGGTCTTCCTAGTGTCTGCATATCCCAACCTTACACTAAATTGTGCTCAGAGATGATTAGGCTACAAGAAATATGATTAAATTGTGTTAAGAATGAATTTAGGAGTGAATCTGAAGAGTATTGTTAAGTACCATTGTCAGACTTAATTTCCATAACCAGTGGAATATCTGGAAATAAATTAGGCTCTAATTACAGGGACTTTTGGCTTAAAAGAAAAGCTCTTTCTATTGTAGGAGAAAACACACTTTCTTATTTCATTATTTTCCAGTGTGCCACAATGTCTTCTAATTTTATCCACACTGTTCTTTCTTCTCACCTAATTCTGTCTTTGTCAAATAAAAGGGTGTTAATTGCTAAGGAAGGGAGTTTGTTTTGCTAACACTCAATATTTGCAGTTGTAAGGAGATTATAAAATAACAGCACCTTTCCCTGCTCTTACAAAATCTTGCTAAGGAAAAGCCTAATTAAAGAGGTCTTGAATCAACCAACAATGAGAGACACTCACCCTCTGAGCACCACATACGTGGAATTGTGTCACAGCACTTTTGGGTACATCCTAAAGAAATCCAAAATCTACTAAAAAACACAGTAATGGATGAGGGGGGGCTGTGAGTGCTGAGGGAAGGGATGGGGAGGCAGGAGCTGGTTTGGGAGGGCAAAAAGCAGGAAGAGAAGAGCCTGGAGCAGCTCTCAGAGCACCTGGAAGGTGACACAGGGCAGGGAAGGAGGGCTTTGTCCTGCAGCTCTTGCTGCCCATCCAGGGGTTGAGAATTTCTTGTTCTTCACAGCTGAGTGGCAACTAAAGCACAGCAGAGCCCAGGATTTGGCCAGGTTAACAAACTGGAGAGAAGCTTTCAGTATCTGAAAAATAAATAACAACACACAGGTTTTAGGAAATAAAAATTGAAAAAAAAAAACCCAAACCTGGAGCGAGGACAGCAAATGAAAAGCTGAAGTGGACTTCACAGAATTAGAGAATGGTTTGGGTTGGGAGGGACATAAAAATCATCTCATTCCAAGGCAGGGACACCTTCCATGTCCCAGCTGCTCCAGGCTGGCCCTGGGCACTGCCAGGGGCAGCCACAGCTGCTCTGGATTGGTACCAGCCCAACCCAACCTCTGATATTTGCCTTCCCCTCTTCCTTCCAGAATGTTCTGGAGATCAGAGTCACACATCAGAATTACACGGACCCAAACAACCTCATGTTCACTGACATCAAGGTCCTGGGGGTGCCCAGCAGTGTCACTCAGGTGACAGTGTCACAGGACGGGGCAGCAATCCCATCAGCCCACAAGGTTGCCTATAACAGCAACAAAAAGGTGAGAAACAGCTTGAAGGGTTAAAAACCTGCACTTGTGCTCTTAAACCTCTGCAGATTCAGCTGGGATACCATATTTAAAATATATTATATATTTTAATATATTATATATATATTTTAATATATTATTTAATAATATATTATAAAATATATTATATATATTTGGTATATATTTACCAAATTAAAAATTTTTACTTGCTATATTTAGAACATATATATTTAGCATATTTAAAATTGTTATATTAGCTATTAAAGGTATTTATATATTTACCACATTTAAAATCTTTGTATATTTACTGTATTTAAAATATTTATATAGTTACCACATTTAAAATATTTTTACTTACCATGTTAAAAAAATAGATAGCATATTACAATTTTTATATTAGCCTATTTAATATATTTATATATTTACCATATTTAAAATATTTTACTTAGCATATTTTAAATATTTGTATACTTACTATATTTAAAATATTTATATATTTAACAAATTAAAAATATTTTTACTTACCATATTTAGAACATATATATTTAGCATATTTAAAATTTTTATATTGGCCTATTAAAGGTATTTATATGTTTACAATATTTAAAATATTTTACTTACCATATTTTATTCTTTTGTATATTTACCATATCTAAAATATTTATATATTTAGCGTATTTAAAGTATTTATATATTTACTATTTTAAAATTATTTTTTACTTACGGTATTTTAAACATATACATGTAGCATATTTAAAAGGTTTATATTAGCCTATTTAAAATACTTATATATTTAGCATATTTAAAATATTTGTATATTTACCACATCTAAAATATTTACCATATTTAAATATTTGCATGTTTACCGTATTTAAAATATCTATATATTTAGCATATTTGGAATTTTTATATTAGCATTTTTAAAATAGTTGCCATATTTAAACTATACATCTATTTACCATATATAAAATAAACCATATTTCAGAAACAGGCACAAGCTGCCATCAGGTAATGATTCTTTAATATCATTTAATGCCACTTCTAGCAGTGAATTTTGTTCCCTAACAGCTTCCTTGCAACCTGGGAGATGTGACAGGAGGAAAAGCTTCTCTGAGCATTCTCTGAGATTCTGCTGTTGACTTTTTGAGGGGGAAAAAATTCACATGCACTGTTGAATTGCAGTGTATTCTAAGTTTTTCTACTTAAAAAAAATTCCTTTATTTTTAAAACAAAAGGAACCTCAGCTCTGAACGAGCATGTGGGTGAAGGAAGGGATCAGAGAGTCATGGTCAGACTCCCAAATCTTCACTGGTTAAACTGTGTTTGTAGTGGTATAAACACAAATGTAAATTAAAAAAAGGGAAATAAATTCTTGCAGTTTAAAATGGAAGCCAATTTCTCCCTGGAACACAGAAAACACCGTGGATCTTTAGGGCTCAGTTACTAAATGTGCATTTTGTGTGTTTTATTCCCAGCTCCTGGAAATCACCAATCTCCAGCTGAAACTGGGCCAGAGCTACACCCTGCAATGGAGCTAGGAGGGAAAATAAAATCAGCCACGCCTCTGCATTCTCTCACAGTTTAAAAACCATTTTTCAATTTTCAAAGTGCTTTTTTGTCACCTTGGAATGCTTTTTCCCCTTCCCAACACAGCAGTAAAGTCAGTTCACAGCCAGGTGCTTTGTGTACAAGGCAGCCACAAGCCAGCAGTGCCACTTCAGGATACCTCGCAGTTTTAAAACCATTTTGCAATTTTCAAAGTGTTTTTTTGTCACCTTGGAATGCTTTTTCCCCTTCCCAACACAGCAGTAAAGTCAGTTCACAGCCAGGTGCTTTGTGTACAAGGCAGCCACAAGCCAGCAGTGCCACTTCAGGATAAAGTTCACCTTTCAAAGTGAGAACCGAAGGGAAAAACTCTGTTTTTTAGAGTAGAATTCCTGTCTGACTTCACATCTGATCAATTTTGTAAAAAAAGATGCATTTGATGTTACCAAAGTGGATTTGAAGCTGTAATTTTTGCTTGTATTTAACTTCCATCCTAATTTTAATTATACCCATGCAGGTCATTATTATGGAGAATTTAAGGCCAGATAATGTAGAAGCAAATGTTTTCACATGACTGATTCAGCATGAAATAATGTTTCAAAATGTTGGTCTATAAAATATTCAGATACTTGAAAAAATAATTTGAGTTTGGGAGGGTTGTATGACTTCAGCCAGATTTGTGTTCCCTGTGTTTTAACTTGAAGGTGTAAAAATAAACCTGAAATTTTAAGGTTAATTAATGAATGTTGGTCTCTGTTTATTTCACTAAAGGAAATGTTGTTGTTGTGTGTTTACCATAATAATAATTCACACTAAAGCCTCTTTTTATCCCAAGAGTGCAGCATATGAACTAAAGAGACTGGGAAAACATATTTACAATTAAATTTGATGGGAATAAATGCTGCAGGAGGTAGTGGCAATCTCCAGTGACTGTGCTTTACATTCATTTCAAGGATTGCTCTCTGCTTTAAAATTTTGGGGTACAAAACTCAATAAACAACGTCTCATAGGTGGATTAATGCAATGATAGGGGGTGAATTTATTGAAATTTCACTGTGAAATGATAATGACATTGGCAAAGAAAATGCCCATTTAGGAGTAATTTTATCTTTTATATTTTGACACATAAAACTTCTCTGTTTCTCACAGAGCTGATGCAGATGTGTCCCTTTGCTGCAGAGAGGGGTGAGGGGGTACAGAACCTTCAACCCACTCCTTCTCACTTTGTGTCACCATTTTGCACCCTCTCACACTGGAAACATCAGGGACAGCCAAAGGCTTTAAAAAAACCCCAGGTTTTCCTTATTTATTTGGGGAACCTTGTTATTGGCGCTTTTATTTTTTTTTTCAGCTTTGAGATCCTTCCAAAAACCCATTTTTTTCCTTATTTATATGGGGAACATTGTTACTGGGTTTTTTTTTTTCAGCTTTGAGACCCTTCCAAATAAAAAGATTTTTCCTTATTAATTTGGGGAACCTCATTCTTGTCACTTTTCCAGCATTCAGAGTCCCAGCAAATTGACAGAATCCCGTGTTTCAGCCCCAGGAGAAGGTTTTACTGATAAGAATTCCTGAGGAACTCACCCATGCTGAGAAATCCCAGCTTCAAACTCTCTTGGCCACCCCTGGGGTTGCCTCCTTGGAGTCTGTCCCACCCCACAGAGACCCTGGACCCAGCCCCAGCTGGAAAAATGAAATCCCATGAAAATCCATCATCCTGAGCAGCGGGAGAGTTTCCAACAGAATTCCACATCCTACTTGTGCTGGGATGGGATTTTTTTAACTCTCCCTCTCCTCTTAGCTTGACTTTCCAGCACCTGTAAAATAACAACACAATCCTGCTGTACATCCCACCAAAAAATCCTCACTGAAGGCAAAAAAGTTTTCCCTGAGAGCCACAAAGTTCTGCATTTCAGATCTTTTTCCTAAGCTTCATTTTCTGGAACTCTTGGAATTTTGTTGGAGTTCTTGAGGCCTGACAGCAGCTGAAGAGAAAAGTCCACTTGTGGCAGCTTAGAGGGAAACCACCACTAATTGGTGTGGGCAGGAAATGATGGAAAATCAGCTCTCATTCCATCAGTGTCATCCCAAAGGGTTCCCAAATGATCCCTGCACTGAAAAGGCTCCTCCTGGAACCAAATTTTGGAGACTGGATGGGGTAGAACAGGAACAGATACTGCTGCACTGAAGAGCCACAGATGGCCTGGAATTACAATTCCACCCATGGAAAAGATAAAACCACGTCACACTTGGCTGTGCTTGTTCTGATGAATCTGCCAGAAATGCACAGGTAATTGGATTTTTCCTTGGAGCTGGAAGGAGCAGCTGGATGGCAACATCTGGCAGCACAGCTGGAGCATGGTGGGCTGGGAAAAAAGAGGGTTTGGCACCTTTGAGGATTTTCCCTTTTCCTTTCCTCTTTCCTTTCCATCCCTTTCCCTCCATTTCCTGCCCTTTTCCCTTTCCCCTCCCCACAAATCATCACTTTTGTGATTTTTGTCCTCTCAGCTGAGAAACTTCTGGTTGTTTTTTCAGCTAAACCAGGATGTCTTTGATAAATGATGCAGAGTTGGAAGTTCCTCTTTACACTTCCTGGAAATGCCAATCTCCTGTGATTCCAAGGATTCAGCCATGCTTGGTGGTGTTTTCAGTTACCAATACAAATATATTGCAATATGAATTTTTGAGTTGTGGTTATTTGCAAGTAAAATGTTAAAAATTTAATCCAGTGCAGTGCACTTCAAATTAGCCCATGTAGAAAGTTTAAGTGTTTAAATACACATTTGGTGTGTGCTATATTTACATATATAATTCATAGCTGCATGGTTAAGTGTACACCCTTAAACATACCCTATGTATATTAGTTACATTATTAATATTTTAAATTCTATTATGTAAAATAAGGGGTTTGTCCCTTTATTATATGGTTGCTCTCACATTCAGAGTCATTTCAGTTGAATGTTTAATGCATATGAGGCATTATGCACATTATAATAATTATGGAATAAGAGATTCAGAAATGCTCCCTGACCAGTGGGTCCCTTTTAATCATCTCAGGAGACCTTTCAGGTGGATGTAGAGCCACATTTCCTCCCCCTGATATAAACCCCACACTCAGGGTCAGCCCAGAAAGCAGCTGATACTGAAATATCCCAGCTCTTTTTAAAAATGGATAAAATTTGCATCAAGTACCCAGTACAGGAAAGGCAAATAAAATTACATTTAAGCAGAATGCCCAAAAAGTACCTCTTAAAAACATTATTGAGTCTTGAAAGTATCACAGGCTTGGAGAAGAGCAAAGAATCTGATCAAGAGGATCCCTCCAGATCCGTGGGTTTCTCTGCCTGCACGGAAACAGCTGGAAGAATCTTCTGTGTAAAAGAGAAAATATTCAAAAGTCTAAACCACCTCATCAGGACACAGCCACAGCAGCTGGAATTAAATCAGCCCAGGAGCTTCCAATGCCCTGTATGCATGGATAAAAATAACCTCATACCTGGTTTTCAAGCAATCATGGGATGGTTTGGGCTGGGAGGGAACTTAAACCTGCTTTTGTTTCACTTCCACTATCCCAGGGTGCTCCAACCTGGCCTTGGCATCGTGGTTTTGATAACTGGATAAAAGTCTAGGACTGAGGAGTTTTGCATTTGGGTGGAATGCAAAAGAGCTGCTGCCTAAAAATGACAGAACTTGGCAGGTTTGTGTAATTTTCTCCTGAATTTGAATGTACTGGTGAGTTACAGTCTGGGATGTGTTTGAGTTAAGTTAGCAAAGGGAAACCTGCAAAGAACTGGGCTCTGCTTCAAGTCCAACTTCTGGTTGCTGCTTTCACTAGTAGATTTAATTATATTGGTTATTATTTTTAACAGATTAAGGAGAAATTAAAAGTAATTCTTATCAGTGTTTACACTGTCAGATAAATATTTAATAAATGTTCTCCATATTGACACTTCTCCTCAAGACAGCAAAACTCTGGACATCCCTTGAAGACAACGGCCACAAAATCTCCTTTCCTCTCTTTTTTGAACCCAGTAAAGAACTGTCATTCCTATTCCCGCATCTTTGCCCGAGAGCCCCTTAATTTCAAAAGTTATAATAATTCAGAGGAGGGCGTTTACATTTTCCATTTCAAGGGAGGCTTCTGCCTTCCTTAGCAGACACCTGGCTTTTCAAACCAAAACACATTAGAACAGGAAATATTTCCTTGCCACCTCTGCACGCTGCAATCCTGAATGGATCCCATCAGTTCTGCCCTCTGCCCTTCATAACCAGAACCATTTTGGAGGGAAAATGCAGACACCCCATCCTTTGGAGAGCCTAATCCCTTCCCACACATCTTTCCAAGCAAGAAAAACAAAGTTTGCCTGACTTTGAGAACTTCCCCTCAGCACAAAAGCCTTTTCTAAGGGTTTTAATTGAAGCCAAGCACCTATTTGGGTTACGATGTCCTATATTTAACTTGAATGGAATAATTTCTTTTCTTGTATTTAACCTTTGATCAGCTGCCTACCTTTGAACTCTGGATATCGATCCCCTCCTTGTTATCCTTGTCCCACTTCTCCTGGAGCTCTTGCATAACCTCAGAAGTCAAAATAAAATTCTCTCTTTGCTGAAATAACTTGTTTTTTTTTTTTTTTTGTTCACAGGAATGGTTTCACTTTGTTCTTTTGTTTTTTAATGTAAGCACCACAGAGATCTGGAATACAGTAATGAAGATGTTTCTGCAGTTTTAAATCAAATTCAGCACTTGGGGAATGTGTGGTTGCACAAACAATAAAAATTAAAGAAAAAAACAGGATAAATTTAAAAGCTACCATTAAAAATCTTGTCATGGTCTGAAGTTTCCTTTTTTAGTATGACTTAGAATGTTCTAAATCATGTAATTACCTCGTTTCAAGTGCTTGCATTAAATGATTTGTTGCTTCAGAGTGATGCAGATAAAAATCTTCCTCAGTGATATTTGTTCCTAAATGAATTCCGAAGAGAGAAGTGA